TTAATCCTGTTGGCAAGTACCTTACCCTTAACTTGCTTGTTTACAACAGTGCCAACAGCATGCTGGGTAACACAGTAGACTTCCTGTTCTGCCCCGGTCATGCTCGTGTGGCCCTCCTTTTTGCACAGTACCCATCCCTGGATGTCTACAGTATCATCCTCTTTTGTAGATTCGCATGTATGTGCTTGTTTTTCACATCTAGGTCTTTAATGAATGCAGAGTCTATTTGTAAATGCACTGATTAAGGATGACAGTGTCAAAGGGGATATAGGTGAATGTCCATTTTGTGTCTGTGTATTCAAAGCGGTTAAGATAGATATATAGTTACATTCTCTTAATGAATAGAGGGATTTGTTCTAATAGTGTTTGTAAATAGGATATCACGTCTGCATCTTGTACAGCGAATAACCACTAGGAAGAGAGTGTGCAATGTGTTAATTATTGGAACTGTCCTACCAATTTGGTTTGAAACTGTCTCATTGCTATTTGTTTCTCAATAAAATTATGGGGAAAAAACATTTTTAAAAAAGGATGACAGTGTCATCTCCTTTATACAGATGCATTTTCTGCCTAAAGGAGGATGCATTTGTCACGCTAGGATGCATTTTCAACAGACATGAAATACCCCTTCGTGCTATATCCCCGTCTCTCAGACAGCGTGCCCCTTCTGGAGAGATCGCTGTTGTCCCGGTGCTCGGTTCCCCTAATCCCGCCCCACTACTGAGCTAGCTTCGGTGCAGACGCTCTGTGGGGTGTTTGCAAACCATGCAAAGCTTTCTGAGCTTGTGTTTTAGAAGACATAGGAGCCACTGAGATTCTAACCTGTGTTATATTACATTTTATTATATTAAGCTTTCTAGCCAGGAGTATGGGATATCTTTCCATGTGTTCAAATCTTATTGAAGACTTTTAATAGGGTATTAAGTTTCTTTCCTGTAATTCTTATAGCTTTGATGTTATTGGAAGCCAGTGATTTGTCTCATTTCTCTCTGCGACTATTCCATTAGCATAAGGGGGTTAAACTCTGGGGCCAGGTTCTTGGACCTAGTGCCTGACCTCCTGCACTGACTGTGGGCTTTGCCTCCTTACATCCCTCGTCCAGCTTCCCTGACCTATTATGATTATGTGAAGTGCGATGTATGATCGCTGGAATCCAACCATCCTGACACTGAGGAAGCCACGAACCTGCTATTAATGGTGCAGATCACTCAGGACACCAGTCCCCCCTCAG